AACATCAATAGTGGAGTGGCTGGCCTAGTACAAGAATTCAGATGGAGTGGGGCAGGGAGTGACTGCATTGCCTACTGCAGCCACTTACAAAGTAGTCATCTGCCATGGAAACTCAAGGATGAAATTCTGTCCTATCTCACCTCTGTGATGGACCTTACGATGGAGACAGGGTCCCCTTTCTTACCCTTCAGGGATAGTGTTGAAATTTCCATTTGTAAAGTTAGCACATGTACATGAGAGACTAATTACCAATGCAAATTAAGTGTCGAATGAGTGGTTAACTTGCATAACACTGACATTTAGAGGAGGACACTGCTGGATAGACATGGAGGATTATGGAGGACCTTGGTAGGAGTGAGACTTGAATTAAAGGGAGAGGCTCTGGAAAGCAAAGAAAGGAACTAGACATTTCCAGTAAAGGGAGAAAAGAGCACAGGAAAGGGGCGGGAACTGAGAGTCACCGAGGATGAGTGTGCTGTGCCTCTAGGCCTAGGCTGACCCTCCTGCTCGCCTGGTTCCTGAGTCATACAGCAGAAAGTGTTGAAAGGCCCTGGGAATACCCTTGATCCTACCTAGACACTGGGACTTTTTTGGTGAGAGGCCTTGGCGAGCACCAAGACATATGACTGAGTGAGTCAGTTGAGGGAATACAGAGCACAACCTGTGTGGCAGTGGGAGGGCGATCCATGGGTAGGTGATCAAGAGCTTGTGAAAGGTCCTATTAGAAGTTAAAAAGAAGAAGGGGTGGGGTGGGAGGAGGAAGGAGTCAGTGCCCCTCCCCTGTCTAGCAAACTAGCTGACAGGCTAAATCCCTTTTAAGCCTAGTTGTTTGTTTTGTATAGCTCTAGAGTACTGTTTCTCTACATGTGGGTCTCGACCCCTAGGGGTCAACCAGCCCTTTCAAAGGGGTTGCCGACGACCATTGGAAACCACAGATACTTACATTATGATTATAAAAGTGGCAAAATTACAGTTATGAAGTCTCAATAAAAACAATCTTATGGTGGGAGGTCACCCCAACACGAGGAACTGTATTAAAAGGATCACACACAGCATTAGGCGGTTGAGAATCACTGATCTAGAACTGTTTTTTTTTTTTTTTTTTTTTTTAACGTGTCTGTGAAGGGCAGAGGCTTCAGAGTCCAGGAGTGTTGGGAATGAGCTCTGGTCCTGCAAGAGCATCTTTTCAGCCCCTGTTTGTGAGGATTGAACCCAGAGCCTCAGGCATGCTAGACAAACACTAACTAAGCCACAACTCTGGCCTCAGTTGTTATTTGTTTAATTATTTTATTTTGGTTTTTTGAGACAGGGTTTTCTGTTCAACAGACCTGGCTGTCCTGTAACTCACTCTGTAGACCAGGCTAGCCTCTGCCTCCCCAGTTTTAGAACTAAAGGCATGAACCATCACCACCCAGCTTATTGTATTTTATTTAAGTAAAGCTCTCAGGTAGCCTAGACTGGCCTAGATTATCTGTATAGCTAAGGATGACTGAATGACCTTGAATTTATTGTTTTATTTTTGTGGCAGAATCTCACTGTATAGCTCTGACTGGCCTGGAACTCTCTATGTGAGCCAAACTGACACCAAACTTACAGAAATGGATCTGCCTCTAAGCTTCCAAGCTCTATAATCAAGGCCACCACACCTGTCCAACCTTGAACTTTTGATACTGAGTGCTGAGATTCCTGACACACCCAGTTTATGTCCTGTTGGGAACAGAACCCAGGGCTTCATGCATGCTGGGAAAGCACTCTACCAGTGAGCTGCACTCCGTCCCAGTTGCAAAAAAGATTTATTGATCTTTTTCAGATCAAAATAATAGTTCATAATGTGTGAAAATTGTATGAAATTCAGGCTTCAGTGTCCATGAATGTTTTTGGAACATGGTAGTGTTCGGTTACTTGCCTGTGACTTCTTGTAACATGCAGGGCAAGGGCTGTATAGTGACAGAGACCATAAAGTCCAAAATATCTTCTCTTTGACACGACAGAAACCTGTCCACCTTGAGTTATACCCACCCATCCTTGGCTCAACCACCCTTTCTGAAACAGAATGGTCACTGTCTCCTCCCTGAGGCTCTGCCCTTCCACCCCCAGCCCTGATTTTGTCATCTCTGTGCCAAGGGCCACACCATGTTTTGTTTTTTATTTTTTGTTTCTTTTTTTTTGTTTGTTTTTTTGAGACAGGGTTTCTCTGTGTAACAGTTTTGACTGTTGTGGAACTCACTCTGTAGACCAGGCTGGCCTCTGCCTCTTTTTTTTTTTTTTTTTTTTTTTTTTTTCTTTTTCGAGATGGGGTTTCTCTGTGGCTTTGGAGGCAGTCCTGGAACTAGCCCTTGTAGACCAGGCTGGCCTCAAACTCACAGAGATCCTCTGCCTCTGCCTCCCAATTACTGGGATTAAAGGCATGTGTCACCATCACCCGGCTTTGTTGTTTTGAGACAGGGTTTCACTATGTAGTTCTGGCAACCTTGCATCTTACTCTGTAGACCAGGCTGGCCTCTGCCTCTTTTTTTTTTTTTTTTTTTTTTTTTTGATTTTTGGGTTTTCGAGACAGGGTTTCTCTGTGGCTTTGGAGGCTGTCCTGGAACCAGCCTGGTCTCAAACTTACAGAGATCCTCTGCCTCTGCCTCCTGAGTGCTGGGACTAAAGGCTTGTGCCACCACCGCCCTGCTGGCCTCTGCCTTTTAAGCACTAGCATTAAAGGTGTGTACCACCACTGCCAACTGCTTCCCCCCTCCCCCTTTTTTTAACCAGGTCAATTTCTCTGTGTAGTCCTAGCTGTCCCTGAACTTGCTTGGTAGACCAGGCTGGCCTCAAACTCAGATCCACCTATGTCTGCCTCTCAAATGCAGGGATTAAAAGTGTGTGCCACCATATATATCTCCCACCGTATTTTTTTTTCTCCCCGAGACAGGGTTTCTCTGTGGCTTTGGAGGCTGACCTGGAACTAGCTCTTGTAGACCAGGCTGGTCTCGAAATCACTGAGATCCACCTGCCTCTGCCTCCCCAGTGCTGGATTAAAGGCGTGCGCCACCACCGCCCGGCCCTTCCACCGTATTTTAAGCTGCACCCACCCCACTGGGCTTTGTGTGTTCTTTTGAGGCCTTCATTCACTTTCCTCCAGGAATTTTCCCTTTGTTGCGGGGCAGAGGTGTGTAGTAGCTCAGACATTAAGACAGAGTCTTGTAATTCAGCCTTGGCTGGCCTCAAACTCAGAATTCCTCTTGCTTCCGCCTCCCAGGCAGGCGCTAGGATTACAGGTATGCACCACCACCCCAGCTCTTGGACTTTTCCCTCTAGAAATTAAGCCCTCAGCTCAGCCCAGAAGTACTGGTCCTGGCTCTGCTCTACTTCTTTCATTTCACCGCTATCCGGACTCCCGCCCCAGCCTTGCAGGGTCTCTCTGAGTCATTAGGGAATCCTTGTGTGGGAATGTATATGTGGGGGGATGGGGAGGTCTGGTTGTTTTCCCTGCCCCGCCCTTTGCTTACTCTGCCGTTTGTCGTTTTGATCCTTTTGTTTCCCATGAGACCCCTCTTTTAGCTGCTGTGACATTCCTTGCTCTAGCTCTTTCTCTCACTTCCTTACCAAGTTCTTTACTAGTTAGTGTGTTAGATGCTGCGTGCTCCCCCTGTTATAATTAAACTTGTGGGGGAATTTGCGTGGGGGACCTTGGCGGATTCCATGGCAGGCGAGGGTGACCCAGGCGGAGGGACAAACATGCTAGGCAGACAGCATAAGTGGGAAGTTTTTTAGAAAGGGGAGGGAGGAAAGAGAAAAGAGCTACCTTTTCTAAAAGACACAGAGGACAGAAGAGAAGAGGGAGATAGGAAAATCTTGTCTGCCCTAGGGGAACCCTGGCAAAGAGGAGCTGGAGAGACGGGAGCAGACAGAGAGCTGGAAAACAGAGGATCCGGAAAGTGGGCGGAAGTCTTTGTTTTAAAGGGGTCCTTTGCACCTGGGCTGACCAGGGTACTGCCTGAGTGCATTCTGCCAGGTGACGGGCAGGCCAGCTTAATGCCTGAATCCTTACACACACACACACACACACACACACGCACACACGCACGCATACACGCATGCACGCGCGCGCGCGCACACACACACATACACACACACACTCATCCTTTGTCCTGTGGTGTGAGCTATTTTATAGGATACTATATGTGTCAGTTACTGTATTAAAATACCTTACATAAATTATTCTTAATCCATTTTTTGTTGTTTTGTTTGTGTTTGTTTTTAGTCAGGGTTTCCTCTAGACCAGGCTGGCCTCAAACTTAGAGATCAGTCTGCCTCTGCCTCCTGATTTCTGGAATTAAAGGCATGTGCCACCACTGCTCAGCAAATTTTTCTTAATCCTTGAGCAGCTTTTATTTTATTTTAACGTTTATCCCAGACTGTGGTAAGGCATTCCTTTCATCCCAGTATTGGGAGGCAGAGGTAGGCAGATCTCTGTGAGTTGAAGGACAGCCAAGGCTATTCACAGAGAAACCCTGTCTTGAAAAGCATATGTATATATACAATTTTTAGTTACACATAGGTTTATGACTGTATATGGGTATTTTCAGGGCAAGTGCAGGTGCCCATGGAGACCCAGTAGCTGGAGTGATAGGCGGTTGTGAACTGCTGGGTGTGGATTCAGAGAACTCAGGCCCTCTGTAAAGCAGTGAGTGCTCTTAACTGCTGAGCTGTCTCTCCAGCTGCCTACAACAGCTTTTGGAAAGATAGACTTAGGGCTTGGGATGTAGCTCAGTTGGTCAAGTGCATGCCGTCATACCCAAAGCTGGGGTCACTCCCTGGTACTGTATGCAAATCTAGTGTGCTGATACACACGTGTGAGCTCCCAGAAGGCAGAATCAGGAGGATCGGATGTTTGAAGCCTCAAGTTTGCTGTCAACTTGTATTTCATGAGTCCCTCCCTGTCTCAGGGTGGAGAAGTGAGATCTGGGCAGCTGTTTTCCCCTACTGATAAGGTATCCCATGTCCCCTGTCAGGTCAAGCGGTACCAGTGCACCTTTGAGGGGTGCCCCCGCACCTACAGCACAGCAGGCAACCTGCGTACCCACCAGAAGACTCACCGAGGAGAGTACACCTTCGTCTGTAATCAGGAGGGCTGTGGCAAGGCCTTCCTCACCTCCTACAGCCTCAGGATCCATGTGCGAGTGCACACAAAGGAGAAGCCATTTGAGTGTGATGTGCAGGGCTGTGAGAAGGCGTTCAACACACTGTACAGGTCAGCCTCTCCATGGCTCTGCCAGCCTCCTGACTCTGAGCTTGGGACCACAGAACTCTTCTCCTTGCATATGACAGCTTTTGACACTTTGGAGAGCATAGCTGCACTCAGCTACTTAAAATGCATTATCAGAGCCTACTACTTAAAAACAGGTGTACCATGGGCTGAGGAGATGTGTTGGCACATCTGTGTGTAGGCTTGCATCTCAAGGAGTGACATCGTGGCCTTGGGATTTTTAGTAGTTGGCGTAGTCTTCTGACTGGCACAAGGCTAAGTTGGCACATAGCCTTTGAAATAACTTTCTTCTGTCCTGAGAGATGGGAAGTTGCCCCACTTGATGTCTGTTTTTCCATGTTTGTGTCAGGAGACTTACATAAATCTTCAATATTAGGCATAAAATAACAGACCATACCATTCTGAAAGTGCCTGATCTTGTTTGGTCCTAGAAGCCAAGCAGGTTTGGGCCTGGTTAATACTTGGTGGGAGAAATAATGCTGGCTAACACTGATGTGTACACTGTGCAAGGCACAATTCTAAGTGCTGGCCCCCAGAACAGCTACTAAGTAAACCGAAGTACAGAGCAGTTGTGTAAGGTACCTGGCCAAGAGGTCAGGGCCAGGACTTGAACCCGGAGGGATCTGTCTCTGATTAATGCTCACGCCACTATGCTACTTTCATCTCTGCATTTCTCTCTGGGTGAGGTCAGATGCCAGTGTACTTTGGTAGCGCATTCTGGTGCACTTGGTCCTACTGTGTGTTCGGCTGGCACTGGGAGGCTCGGTGGTACATTCTGCATGACGCATTTCTCTGGGACATTTTGCAGGTTGAAAGCACATCAGAGGCTTCACACAGGGAAAACGTTTAACTGTGAATCTCAAGGCTGCAGCAAGTACTTCACCACACTCAGTGACCTGCGGAAGCACATTCGAACCCATACAGGAGAAAAGCCATTTCGGTAGGTCTTGCTGTTTTCTGTTTGTCACTGACCAGGTCTTAGCTGGGTATCTTGATAGACTCTAGGAAGTTTTCAAAGTAGGAAGAAAGCTGCCTTACCCATTTCTTTTGGTGGTGTTAGCTTCCCACAGGGTAGCAGTGACCGCCTGCTGCAGGTTGGAGGAGTACAAGTGGACTTTTTCCCTGAGTGATAGCTGGCTGTTATGCCTCATTTTTTTTCTGTATTCTTTAAAGGGTGTTTGTTGAAGCTGACTTATATGGTAGATACTTTTCTTTGCACTAGGGAAGTACTGAGATTCTTAATCAAGGGCTGGGGAGGTAACCTGGGCTACAGAGTGAGACCCTGTGTCAACACCCCTTTCCCCTAAACAAAACAAAGCATCCTTAGTTGAGTGGGGAAGAGCCACAAGTTGTAGACAGTGTCTGAGCTATCAGCCAAAGTGGCTTGAGCTTGGAAAAGGGAGACCTACCTGAGAAAGGAGACTTAAAATTGTTTCTGAGCATGCTCACAAGGGAAAGTGAGGGTAGGAGGCTTAGCTCAGTGGTCTGCATGATCGACTCTGTTACTTAGTTGCTGTTGCTTTTAATATCTCATGTTTGTATACGTATAGAGCCACATGCTTTTGTGTAGATATTTCAAAATCCATGTTTTTAAAAAAATTTTAAATTTATTTATATTTTATATACGAGTGCTCTGTATATATATTTCCAGAAGAGGACACTGGATCCTATTACAGACAGCTGTGAGCCACCATGTGGTTGCTGGGAACTGAACTCAGGACCTCTGGAAGAGCAGGCAGTGCTCTTAACTGCCAAGTCATCTCCACAGTCCCCCAAATCCACATTTAAAATTTTAGTTTTAAGTATGTATCTGTGTGAGCACATGTCATATGTGTGCTGATATTCGTAGAGGCCAGAAGCTGGTATCAGATCCCCTGGAGATGGAGCCCTCTATGAGGGCTAAATTTGGGCCCCCTATGAGGCAGCAAATGTTCTTGACCACCGAGCCATCTCCCTAGCTGCATCATCCACAGTAGATAGGTCTGTAACCCTGAGGCGGCTTGTACCCATCCTCTTTTCCTCGGATGGCATTTAACACACGGCGTGGCTCCAGACACTCAGTAAGTGTTCACAAGCAGCCTTGGAAGATTATATGACATTTTAATAAGGTAATCAGTTTGTAAGGACCCCCATAACTGAATTTTAAGTATTGCTAAAGATTTCCCATAAACAATGTTCTTGAATTCTGACACGGGATATTGCTTAAAGTTCTTTCTTTCTTTCTTTCTTTCTTTCTTTCTTTCTTTTTTTTTTTGTTTGTTTTTTTGAGACAGGATTTCTCTGTGTAGCTTTGGAGCCTATCCTGACATTCCCTCTGGAGACCAGGCTGGCCTGGAACTCACAGAGATCCACCTGCCTCTGCCTCCCGAGTGCTGGGATTAAAGGTGTGTGCCACCAACGCCCAGTGCCACCCTTCCATTTTCAGGTCACTGGTCCTTCTTTGCACACTTGCAGGCAGTTGAAAATTCTCCAGGAGCAGCTAGCTCCAATTAAATGGAATTGAGATTTTAAATTACAGATACATTCCTGAGTCTCAGCCCCATTACGAACAGGAGGTTACAGTCTAATTGGTTACTCTGCAGATATTTAATCACCCCTACCAGGTTGCTAGGAGGACTTTTATTTCTATACAGATATGTGCGTTTATTTTTGTGATGATTAAAACAGTTTTGTTGTGAATATTAGAGGAGACCTAGGTAGATACAGTGATGATTATACGTGACTAAAAACCAAAAGGCTTTAAAGAAACTTTCTATTTAAATAAGTAAGATGTTTAGATATGTAAGAAAACATACATATGTATGTTTTAAGTTGTTGCTATATAACAACTAAAACAATGTAAAGAACTACACAGACCCTGCTTTTGAGAAAATATAAAAAAAAAAAAAATATGCACACATCTGCCATGGTGGTACACACCTTTGTTCTCAGCATGGGGACGTAGAGGCAGGAGATCTCTGAGAGTTCCAAACCAGCCAGGGCTACATAGTGAGACTCTGTCTCAGATAAACATGCTTTCCCCAAATGTACGAAGAGAGGAAATAAGATTGGAAATGAGAGATGCCTTAAAGGAATCATGTGATAAATGTGTTAGTAATCCTGAGGAGGTGAGGATTGTCCTTGGCTTTGATTATCGAGAAAGTATGTGGGGACTAAGAGTATAGCTCACGTAGCACTCATGATGCCCTGGTCTTAAGCTTTACCACTGCATAAACCAGGTATAGTGGTGCATACCTGTAATCCTAGCTACGGAGTGAATTCAAAGCCAACCTGAGATGTGGAGGGGATCAGCTAAAGCTAAGCACTGAGGATTATGGCTAGTTCTTGACTGCAGCCACACAAGTGCTTTGGGTTTGGTTTGTGTTTTTATGCTGTTTTTCCAGCTCTATGCATATATATATTCCCCCACCCCTTTTTGAAACAGGGTTTGCTCTGCAGCCCAGTTACCCATGAATTTGTGAGCCTCCTCCTGCCTCAGCCTCTTGGGGCTAGGATTATAGATATATGTCAATAGTCCCACCCTTATATGTCTCTTTACTCACCCTTAATATACATAATTCAGTGGCCATAGGTTTTTTCCATAGATTCTCACTGTCAGCACAGTTCTGTCCTTTGCTTAGTCAGATTTTTTTTTTTTTTCTTTTTTTGGTTTTTCAAGACAGGGTTTCTCTGTGTAACAATAGCTCTAACTGCTCTGGAGCTAGCCTTGTAGACCAGGCTGGACTTCAATTCACAGAGATCCGCTGCGCCTGCCTCTGCCACTTAAGTGCTGGGATTAAAGGCGTGCGCCACCACCGCCCTGCTTACTTAGATTTTTATCGTTGGGATGCTCTCAACACTTGCCTTTACCTAGAGGCCAAGAGATGCCTATCTTGGGCTCTCAGCTCCTGCTCATTCCAGATCTGCCACTTTTCCCTTCCCTTTCCGTCAGATCCATTTATTCATTCATTCATTTATTTATTGCATGTGTGTGTGTATAACAGTACACACCATCAGAGGACAACTTGATACATTTGTTTCTCTCCTATCATGTGGGTTCCAGGGACCCGAACCCAGAACATCAGGCTTGGTGGCAGCAGCACCTCTACCTGTCCATCTTGCCAGCCCACTCCTATGTGTTTGTTTTCTTCCCAAGTGCTCTCATTCCAGTTTCTAGAACAGCTGTGACTAGTGTGATCTTAGCGGTCCAGACGCTGCTCTAGTGCATATGCACAAGATCTCCAGGGTAAAATAAAGCTCTCACCCAATGACTCTTGTCTCTGCTTTAACAACTTATCTAGATGTGATCACGATGGCTGTGGGAAAGCATTTGCTGCAAGCCACCACCTTAAAACTCACGTCCGTACGCACACTGGTAAGTTGAGACTGATCTCCATTTTTCTTTTTCTTTTTTTTTCTTTTTGGTTTTCAAGACAGACTCTCTCTGTGTATCCCTGACTGTCCTGGAACTGCCTTGGTGACCAGGTTAGCCTAGAACTGGAGAGATCCACCTGCCTCTGCCTCCTCAATGCTGAGATTAAAGGTGTAGGCTACTATGCCTGGCATAATTTCCAGTTTTCCTTTAAACCTTCAACAGATCTGTCCCCGTTTCTCTTGAAACCTGTAAAATGAGGAAGAGAGCAAGCACAGTCAGCATGGCCTTCACCTCTACAGTGCCTGTGTTTCTTTATGAAGGATCTAAGGCCTGGGTCAAGAATTCAGCCTTAAGCCATAAAACCAGACATAACCTTTCAGCAAGCTGTGAGGCAGCAGCAGCCTTCTCTGCAGGCCTCCAGGAGGCCAGGCCACTGCTGCGGCTCTCCTCTGCGATGGGTTTTAAGATGGAAAAAAAAGTCCACACTAGTTGGTTTAGTTGTTAACACCTCTTGCTCAGACCTTCCCTGGTTAGAAGAGAGAGCTTGCCTGGAGGTGAAACTAACATGGCTTCTTCATCCCTGCAGGTGAAAGACCCTTCTTCTGTCCCAGTAACGGCTGTGAGAAGACATTTAGCACTCAGTACAGTCTCAAAAGTCACATGAAAGGTCACGATAACAAAGGAACCACATACAGTGCACTTCCACAACACAATGGATCAGAGGTATGCTCTTGTTTCCTGTTCTGATGTGGACACTGCAGGGCAGCAGCTGTTTGCAGCTGTTGAGTCCTCTATTACCTAGAGAGGGAAAAAATGGTTCAGGATCTGTGTGCCTCTGTGCGGGGTGTGTGTGTGTGTGTGTGTGTGTGTGTGTGTTCGTTCATTTTTGTAAGGGTCCTCATGTGCAGCTGCCTGAGCTCAGAGGACATGCTGCTCCTCGGCTGCTGTGGCCTCTCCTTTTCTTTTGTGACAAGCTCTCACATTGGCATGGAACTCGCTAAGTAGACTAAGCTGACCATCCAGAGAGCTTCAGGAGTCCTGTCTCATGTCTCCCCAGTGTACAGATTAAAGCTGGGGAGCTTTAAAAATATAAAAAGCATAGGTTTGGGTGCTTGAAATCTATGGACTTAGCTATTACCCCAGCCCAGTGGTTTGGAGTTTTGTTTTGTTTTGAGACAAAAGTTTCATCTGACCCATGGTAATTCTCCTGCTTCAGTCTTTCATGTGCTGGTATTATGACATAAGGCCTCATGGCTGGCTTGGAACTCTTAAGATAGTGTCATTTTCCTGCAGAAGGTGATAAGTTTGTACTATGGAATGGAAACTAACTAATATGGTCTCACATATCTGTCAATATCATATAGCCAGGCTTAGTCTGGAGGGTTCCCAGCCCCTTTGATTGTCTGAAGAATAAAAGGTTTGAGAGTGCCTACCTTAAGACACTAAGCTGCAGAGGACGTCCATGTACATTTTTAGGAGGTTTGGTTTGTTTTTTGTTTTGTTTTGTTTTGTTATAGGTATTTTTATTTTATGTGGATGGTTGTTTACTTGCATGAACTTGTGTAGACATACCACCTGTGTGCCTGGTACTCTTGGAAGCTAGAAGGGGGCATTAGATCCCCTGGAACTGGAGGGATAGCTGGTTGAGAACCACTGTGTGGGTGCTGGGAACTGAACCTGGGTCCATCTCTCTCTTAAACTCTGAGCCCTCTCATTTGTTATCCGCCCCCCCCCCCAACCCCACATCCTTGGTTTTTGAAGACAAGGTTTCTCTTTGCAGCCCAGGCTGTCCTGGAACTCACTCTGTGAACCAAGCTGGCCTCAAACTCAGAGATCCGCCTGCCTCTGCCTCCCAAGTGCTGGGATTAAGGACGGGCACCACCACGACCAGCTTCATCTGTTATTCTTTATAAGTCTGTCCATCTTGCTCTGCTACGGCTCCATTTTAAAAAGATCTTAGGACGTTTACTATTGCTTGCCCTTTCTTTTTGACATTTTGTTAATTGGGGTGCAGTCATGGAAGTTGGTTCTCGTCTTCCACAATGTGGGTCACAAGGATTGAACTCAGGCCACAGCCTTGGCAGCTGTGCCATCTGCCTACTGAGCCATCTTGCTAGCTCTTTCTAGTGTGGTAGTATTTGATGACCCATATCTGTTAATCCTGGAAAGTGAGTAATGTCATTATCTTACTTCTTTGTGGATAAAGAAATGGAAGCTGGTAGAGGAGTCGGTCAGTTCTCCCTTATAATGATCTGGGATTGCTCCACTTTGTGCAGTCCACTTCTGTTTTTTTTTTTTTTTTTTTTTGCCCAAATCTTTGCAAGGAGTGGCTAAGTAGGTTTCCTTTTCTCCTCCCTCCCCACACTGCCACCTCATCTGCTCTGGATCCCTCCCTGTTCACTCTCTGCCAGAGGCGCTCTGCTTGGCCTGAGGCAGCAGGGACCATCTCTACTGCTTTTAGTCCTCCAGCCTGTATTTCCCCCAGCTCCAGGCTAACTTATTCATCAGTCTCCTTTGGAGTAATGAAATTCAGAAAGTATGAAATAAGCTTTATATTTTTGGAGAGGCAGCACACTCAGAAGCCTGTGGTTTCTGGTTTTTAAACAAGGGTCCTTTTCAAAGCTCTTTCTCAGTGCTGGTTAGATGGCTCAGTGGGTTAAGGTGCTTGCCCCAAGCCTCATGTGAGGCCTGAGTGTGATTCCCTAAGCCATAGTGAGTGGAGAGTCCCAACTCCTGCAAGTTGTTCTCTGACGGGTGGCACTGCCCCCAAACACAAAATAAATGATGGAAGAACTCTGGGTTGTTAGTAATATATATGATAACTAATATTTGCTAATGGAAGGACTCTGGGTTGTTAGTAATATATATGATAACAACTATTTTGCTGAATGTTAAGTGTGTGCCTGAATCTGTTCTAGGTGTTGCCTTGCTCACACTCCATATTGTCACCATTCCCACATTACTGGTTAAGAACCTTAGAGAAGCCAGGTGGTTGTGGCACATGCCTTTAATCCCAACACTGGGAGGCAGAGGCAGGTGGAACTCTGTGAGTTCAAGACCAGCCTGGTCTACAAAGCTAGTTCCAGGACAGGCTCCAATGCTATACAGGGAAGCCCTGTTTCAAACAAACAAACAAACAAACAAAAAAAAACCCTTAGAGCAAGGAGAAATTAAATAATTTGCCAAGGTCTGCATAACTTGATATGAACGTGACTTAGGCAGGCACTGTGACTCCAGAGCCAGCCTCTTAAGGTCAGCATTGTTGAGACAAAGGTGCCGTTAGTTGTGAAGAGGGTGGCTTCTGTGCTCACCAGCCCCAGTTCAAACCATTCTTCTGTCACTAAGAGCATGGCCTTAGGCAGCTACTTCTGGGCACCTCAGATTCTTCATCTGATAAACCAGGCAAGAACTGCTCTCCTTGGGTCAGTATCGGGTTCTTGTTTTGTAGCAGCATGGAGACTTGAACTGCAAACAACACTGAGTGTACTAACCAGGGTTCTCTAGAGAGAGTAACAACTTACAGAATGAATCTGTGTGTGTATATATATATATATATATACATGTGTGTGTATATAGATGCGTACTATGTATATATATGTGTGTGTGTGTATATATGTGTGTATATATACATAATATACATAAATGTATATGTATTTATGTACATATACATAAATATACACATATACATAGTACACCTCAGAAAGTGCAAGAATCCAGTAATTTTTCAGTCCCCAAGGCTGGATGTCTCAGCTGGTCTTAGTATGCACCAGAATCCTGAAGAAGTAGGCTCTAATGCCGGTGAAATGGACTTGGTAGCAAGGGTAGGAGGAAGGAGGCAAAAGAGAGCTTCCATCTTCCATGTCCTTTCTATAGGCCCAGATTAGAGGTGGATCTTCCCACCTCAAAAGGTCAGTGGTTCTCAACTTCCTAATGCTGCAACCCTTTAGTACACTTCCTCATGTTGTGACCCCCAACCATAAAATTATTTTCCTTGCTACTTCATAACTGTAATTTTGCTACTGTTATGAATTGTGATGTAAACATTTGTGTTTTCTGATGGTCCCTGTGAAAGGGTTGGTCTGTTCTAGATTAAAGGTGTATCTTTTCACCTCAGTGATCCTGGTTAGAAATGGATCTTCCCACTTGAAATGATCCAGTTATACCAAAAAAAAAAAAAAAAAATCTCACAGATGTGTCCAGTTTTTTTTGGTTGGGAGGGTTAGTTAATTCCAGATGTGATCAAGTTGACAACCAAGAATAGCCATCCCACTGAGCCTTGGATGTACCAGTGTTCAGTCTTGTAAGAGTGAATCCCTGCATCTCCTCTGTTCAGCAGAAGGCTGACTCCGGATTTGAGGCTTCAGGGACTTTCTGCAGTGCCCTGAGTTTAACATTGACAGTGCCAACCTGGGCCTGTCCAGCCTCCCACTGACTTCTTCACCCAGATAATATTGTAACCTGACCTGTCCAACCTGCTTCTCCTGCAGCTTCTTCTCCTCCTAGCTGCACAGGCAGCCAGGTTTCTCTAGTGGAGGTCCCAGTCTTGGTGATCCATCCCACAGCCACTAACACAGTCTGTCCCCTCTACCAAGAATCTAGCCTAGTGTGATGGGTATGCCTATTACCCAAGCATGTAGGGTGTAAAAGGAGGAGGATCAAGAGTTCCAAAGCCTGACTGGGCTCTGAGAGAGAACAAAACAGACAGACAAAAGCCCTGTGTTCTAGACAGGATTCTATCTGGTCATTTTCCTGGTATCTTCCCAGTCATTCTGCTTATGGTGTGTGCCTGGATTGTGATATTACTTGTTTAGGACCTCTGTGTCAGTCCAGGCTTCCACAGGCCACCCTGCCTACATTAGCTAAAGACCTTTCTGTCTGAACCACAATGCAGATAAGGTCTGTTCTCATAATTGCTCAGCAGCTTTTTGTTAAGGTCACAATCCTGTCAGTAACCCTCACGGCCCTGGTTGCTTATCTGACATCATCCATTTCTTGTCCTCTCCCTGCCATCATATCACCCTCTATGTGGTAACCTTGCCACGTGCTCTGCCCGACATGAATGCTGGAGTTCCCACCTTAGTTTCTACTCAGACACCTTTTACATGGCAGGCTTTCCCTAACCATCTAAAACAAGAACTCCTGGGCTGGCGATACAGCTCAGTGGGTAAAGGCCAAACCTGACAGCCTGAGTTCAACTCCCAGAACCCCACATGATGGAAGGAGAGAACTGGTTTCTGAAAGTTGTCCTCTGCACTACAGATGGCTTCTGAAACTGAAACCAGGAGGCAAGAGAATAAAAAGCTGTTTCTTTTTTTCCACAGAGCACTCATCTCCTGTGCTTTTTATTTTTGTTGTTTTTTGTTTTCTGAGACAGGCTTTCACTGTGTAACATCCCTGGCTGTCCTGGAACTCGCTCTGTAGACCAGACCTCAAACTCACAGAGATCTTTCTGCTCGCTGAGTGCCGGGATTAAAGGTGTGCACCACCACTGCCCAGCCTATGCTGTCTTTTTTTTTTTTTTTTTTTTTCCTGGTTTTCACTAGAATGGAAGCCTGACAGGTGCAGAGACTGTTCTGTTTTGTTTATTCCTGGCCTGGAACAGTTCCTGACGCTCAGTCGCTGGAGTGCTCTTGTGCTTTGGGGCCATTGTTAAAGACAGTGAGTGTTGCTGGGGCTCAGGTTGTGACTCAGCAGCTAAGAACATTCGCTGCTTTTGCAGAGGACCCAGGTTTGATTCTTAACACCTAAGTGGTAGCTTACAATACTAGTTCCCAGGGATCTGGAGCTTTCTTCTGGCCTCTGAAGGCACCCAGGACTTACATACATACAAACAAAATACTCTGAAACATAGAAATAAAAATAAATCTTTTTTTTTTTTTTTGAAAAGAAAAAGGATTATTTGAACTTTAAGCCAGCAACACCAAGACAGGTAATCTGATGCTTTGGACAATACTGAGTGACTGGTGCAAGTAGGGCCTTGGCTATATGGGAGATACAGGATTTGATGGCCCAAGAATTCCTCATACTTCTCAGTAGTATGCAGTTATGGTTTATTTCTGTAATTTAGTTATGACTGATTGTTGACCATGTATACCTGGAACTGATAAGCAGACTGCATAAGTAAGGGCCGTCTGTGTATGTTGAATATATACATGGGTAGGAGTGTGGGACCCACTTGAATATAAGCAGGATCCCACTTTAGGGTAAGGATTATGGCTCGTGTTCAGGAATCCACAGTTCAGAATGGCCTGAGCAGCGGGATTTGAGCAGTTAACCCTTAGCAGCTTTCTGAGGAGGACCTGGGGAGCCCGAGTGGAGACACTAAAGGAAGGAGGATTGACTGCTCAGCCAGAAGCACTACATTTGTCTTCTGTTAATTAGCTATATACCGGGCACATCACTCTCTTGTCATAGCATCGATTTTCTCATATTTCAAATGAGAGTATTAAATAACACTTCTCCAGTTCATTTTAATAGCAAATGAGTAGTGTGAAATCACTCATGGAGGTTCACTGCAGTCTGTAGCTCAAGTCTCAAGTGATCCAAAGCTCTCTTGTGGCCTCTTTGAACAGCAGGCACACACATGGAGGCAAAGCACACATAAAATTAAACTTAAAACAACAACTATTAATCACTTTAAGAAACAATTGAGCATGGTGTCTTGTTACCTGCAGTCCCAGCACTCGGGAGGTGGAGGCGGGATGGTCATAAACTCAAGGTCATTTCTGGCTGTATAGAGAATTGGAAGCCATGCTGGGTTATGTGACATCTTGCCTCAGAAGAACTGGAGATGGATGGAGCGTATATATTCTAATAAGAATATGGAAGGATTTTAAGTTTGTTTTCTTTTTCTTTTCTTTTTTTTGTCTTTTGTTTGTTTGTTTGTTTTTTGAGACAGGGTTTCTTTGTGTAGCTTTGGAGCCTATCCTGGCACTCGCTCTCGAACTCACAGAGATCCACCTGCCTCTGCCTCTGCCTCCCAGGTGCTGGGATTAAAGGCATGAGCCACCAATGCCAGTCTTGTTTTCTTATTAATGAGCTATCTACTTAGCCCCTGCTTTGGATGTGTCTGACCTTTCTTAAGTGACACATGCAGACATTGGAACCTTAAGGACTTGGTAATCAAGTATTTTTATCATGTAATATGCCACTATAATTTTCACTTACTGTATTTGTTGTTTAATTGTGATTTTTTTTTTTCTTTCACAGGATACAAATCACTCACTTTATCTGAGTGAGTTGGGCCTTCTGTCCACAGATTCTGAATTGCAAGAAAATTCCAGTACAGTAAGTGTTCCTGAGGAGGGGTGCTGGAGGAATTCCTCTTTGAAAATGGAGGAGGGCCAGTCTGAAGTCTCCTAGATGTAATTCTGTTCAGTCCCTGACATGAGGATTCTTTTTCTACTCTGGGAATGCCTTTGGCCTACATCATTTATTTGATGGTCTTTTGGTCCCAGAAAATTTCTTATTTTACTAATTTAGGCAAATATTAACATTCCAGCAGCCACTGTGTAGCCTACAGTGCAACCAGGAACGTGTGGTTTGGCCTCAAGGAACTTGAGGTCTAGTTAGATGTGCCAGAATTTTGAAGTTCCTGGACTTGTCTCTACCTTGCATCTCACTTGCCTTAGGCTGTTTCCTTCTTTAAGCTCCCCTTAGTGTACATTTGCAGGGGGGCTTACTGTGCAGGCCTCCATTAAGGGACAAGTCCAGACCTTCATCTTGTCACTGTGGTTCCACAGTGTGCTAACAGACCACTGCACGGAGTCTGAGCTTATGCAATCCAGCTGTTCTCATGTTTTCCCTACACTAATTTTGAGGTTTGTGCTCAGGCTAGATTTTCTGTCACTCTTCATAATGAATCATGTCATTGAATGTGTTTAAACACAGGCTGAAGAATGACTTAGAAATGTTAGAGGGAAATGCTTCCTTTTCTCAACTGTCTTGTATTTTGAGACAGTCTCACTCAGTATATATAGTCCAGGCTGGTCTCGAACTCAGGACAATCTAGGCAGGCTTATTTTTCAGCCATCCAGATGCTGGAACTACCTGTGTGAGCCACCATACTGAACTGGAAAACCTTTCTTAAAGTATGGAGGTCAATAGAGTCAACAGTAGCACCTGTGAGAGTATAAGGTCTTATCTGGCGGCACCATTGATCGGAGACTGAGGCAGGAGGATCATTGGAGTCTAGCAGTTTGAGACCATTCTGAGTAACAGGCCTGTCTCTAAACAAGAAGAAAATAAAGTGTATGCTCTTGTGTTCTCCACAGAGTTAGCATAGCTGAGAGTGATATTAAAAAGTGTACTTGGGGGGCTGGGGATTTAGGAAAGCATGATACCCTGAGTTCCACCTCACTCTGTGTGTGTGTGTGTGTGTGTGTGTGTGTGTGTGTGTGTGTGTGTGTGTGTGTTTTGTTTAACGTAGGGCCTAGGGCATACTACACAAGTATTCTACCCCTGAGCTAAATCCTTGGCCCAGATAGAAGATTTTCATAGCTAACATTTGCTCTTAGGCATAAATGAATATGTTTATGAAAATAGGAAGTCTCAGTGGAGAAATAGGAACTATTTAAAAATGAAACCAGGTATGGTCGTGCATGCTTCTAACCCTACTACTTGGGAGGATTGCCAGGAATTTGTGGTCGGCCTATACTGTATAAGTGAGACCTCCTCCCAATAAATACATAAAATAAACCAAGCTTGACTTGATATTTGGGCACTAAAGTGATTACCTGTAATCCTAACATTTGTGAGGTACAGGTAGCAAGATTGTACATTCAAGGAGCTATGCTACAAAAAACAGTACATTTGGAACTGAAAATTAAGCCAGATAATTCAAAACCAGGGACCGGCCTCTCTAAGTTACTCTCTGCTCTCCGTAATATGATGTGTTCCTGTCCATGTGTGCCCTTGAAGGAATGTAAAGAAACCACATGAAAAGATTCTTAGGTTAGACTTAACAGTGAAGAAACAGAAGAGAACCGTCTGTTAAGCTAGAGAACAAAGGTGAGAAACATGGAATATTCCACATGATGTCACTCATATTACAGAACAGATTTTCTGAAGTTTATACTCAAGATGTCTAGGGTGCCCTAACCTCAGACTTCCGGGTCCAGTGTTCCCGTAACATTTATTTAGTCCATGTGTGTGCACAAATGTTGCACTTGTGTGTACAGATACATGCCACAGCACACATACAGAGATCAGAAGACAACTTCTAGGTCCTGGGGATTGAACTAAGGACATCAGACTTGCAAGGGCCATCGGGGAGCCCACCATGTAGCTGTGTCATATAGCTGAGAAGTCCACATTGGCCAAGACAATGACATTAGACTTGGAAGCTCTTGGGAGCTCTGAGGCCACCAGGGAAGACACCTGATAAATGGGAACCATTTCCAGCATAATTACATGTGCCAAGAGAGGACTCCTCTCCCCTAGTCTGCTTTGCTCCTGGCACCCAGTGTTTAGCCCAGATTTGGGAAGAATTTTTTCAGTCTTTGAAACCAAAGAGCAGTCAGACTAATGTGAGATCTCTTGGTAGTTGGGGGTTGGTAGAATCAAATGGTAAACAGTGCATGAGATTATCATCTTAAGGGTGTGTGTGTGTGTGTCCTAGAAATGAGCCTGTTTTGAGAAGGGGCTGGATCTACCAGGGAGTTGCCACTGGGTTTTTTGGTTGCTGACCTCTGAGCTCATCTGGACCTGAACAGCTCCTGCTGTTTTTCCTGCTCTGACCCAGAGCTCTACTGTCCTCACCTCTACTTTGGAGAGTCATTTCCACTAATTCTGCAGCCAGGGGTTTTGCTCTGAACCCTGGTGGGGGCTCAGCACCTACCCTTCCTCCCTCTCTCCTGCTCTTCCCGGCCTCCCTCTTTCTTCTTCTGTGTTTTGGAACCTTTATTGAGGAGCATTGTGTATGCACACAGGGACATGCGCCCTGAGTGTGCTGCCTAATGATT